GTTTGGCTGGGGATGGACCATGGATTATGGGACATGCAGTACCTTTGCTCAATTCTTGAGACCACTGCACCCTCATCCAATTAGCGATAAAGATCGAACTTGGCACTCTGAGTCTCCATGATGCACTCTACATCCTGGTGCAGTTTGGAGGAGGATGCACCATGGACGATGGGACTTGCAATACCTGCACTCCCTTCCCAAGACCATTACTACTGCCAACAATGATGGGTCAGGACCACAATTTACACAGAGAGCCTGCATGACCCACTCTACATCCTGGTGTGGTTTGGAAGAATTTGGAGATGGATGATGGGACTTGCAGTAACTTCACTCACTTCCTGAGACCATTGAGACCCTCGCCAATGACTGATCAAGACCAAACTTTCACAGGCCACTGACCAACACGGGTGACGCACCTGGACCAAACTTGGCACACATAACCACCACGAAACCCCTTTATGTTCTGGTATGGTTTGGGGGAGGTGGACCACAGATTATGGGATTTGTAGTACTTTCAAATGGTTTGGTTCCCAGGGACCACTGTGGCCCCCGATAAAGACCAAACTTGGCACACCGAGCCCCCATGACCCACTCTACATCCTACTGTGCTTTGGAGGAGGGCAGACCTTGGATGATGGGACTTGAAGTACCTTCACTCGACTTGGAGTACATACACTAATTTCCCGAGACCGCTATGACTCTCATCCAGTGACTGATCAAAAATCAAACTTGGCACGCAGACCCATTCTACATCCGATGACGGGACTTGCAGTACTTTAACTCACTACCTTAGAGCACTGCGGCCCACACCAATGACGGATCAGGACCAAACTGGGCACACAGAGGCCCAATGGCCCATTTTACAACCTGGTGCGGTTTCGGGCAGGATGGGCCACAAATGATGGGATTCGCAGTACCTTCACCTGATTAACTTCCCACAGAACATTGTAGCCCCTAAAAATCACACACCAGGCCCAAACTTGGCGCACAGAGTACTCATAACCCACCCTACATCCTGAAGCAGTTCTAAGGGGAATGGACCATGGATGATGGGATTTGCAGTACCTTCACTCACTTACTGAAACCACAGCGACCGTCATCCAATGTATGATGGCACACCCGGAAGATGAAGAAAAAACTATATGTGCCCGGCTATTTTCCCAGTGACCATCGGTATGCCCTAAATATACTTTAATATCTCCAAAATAAAACTCTAGAGACGAGACTAAAATTAACCAATGAAGTTTACTGAACTTACTTGATTCAAGGTGAATCAAAACAAGGTATACAAAGGTGCAGTTTGAAATTTGATGGTATAGAATTAGAATAGTAAGGAACAGGTATAAGGTATAACTGAGGTAAATATAGATAACAGGAGGCTATGAGGTATAATGGTGGTATGTGCTTTGAGGTAACAACAACTATATTTTCTATGAGGTAAGCACTCTCTATAAACTCTGGGGCATGTACTATCTAATCTATATGGCAAATACAGATGAATTCTTTATAACTTATACTATAATCTATAGACTCTAAGGCAAATACATTCTAATCTATGAGGCAAATATGTGCTAAGGATGGCCTGTTCAGACTGCTAAGCCAGACCAGACACTTTCTGGCTAACTACTACAAGCTATGTCCAAACAGAATGGAATGAAAGGTCCTTCCACCAGGCTCTGAGCCAGAATGGGCTGAATCAAAAGAGCTCGGCCTCTAGGGGGATCCTAAGCTACTACTCTAAAACTTAGTAGAATGGAACAGTCCACCTCCAGGGAGCAAACAGAGGGGTAAAAACTAGGCCGCGACTTCACACAATGACTGATCAAGACCAAACTTGGCACACAGAGCCCCCATGACCCACTCTACATCTTGTTGCAGTTTGGAGGAGATTGGACCACGGATGATGGGACTTGCAGTACTTTCACCCACTTACTGAAATCACTGCAACCCTCATCCAATGACTGATCAAAACTAAACTTAGCACACAGAGCCCCCATGACCCACTCTACATCCTGCTGCAGTTTGGAGGAGGGTGGACCATGGATGATGGGACTTGCAGTACCTTCATTCACTTTCTGAGACCACTGCGACCCTCATCCAATGACTGATCGAGACAAACTTGGCAGAGCCCCCCCAACCCATTCTACATCCTGGTGCAGATTCAAGGAGGATGGACCACGAATGATGGGACTTGAAGTACCTCCACGCATGTCACAAGACTGCTGCGACCCTTATCCAATGACTGAACAAAACCAAACTTGGCACACAGATCCCTCATGACCCATTCTACATCCTGGTGCAGTTTGGAGGATTATGGATGATGGGACTCGAAGTACCTTCACTTACATCCTACACCGCTGTGACCCTCATCCAGTGACTGATGAAGACCAAACTTGGTACCCAAAGCCCCCATGACCCACTCTACATCCAGGTGCTGTTTGGAGAAGGATGGACCATGTACAATGTGATTCGCAGTACCTTCACTAACTGTTAACTGATAAAGAACACCTTTGCCACACAATGCCACTCTCAAATAACCCAGGTAGCGCCAGGTCCCCAAGCTAGTCTATAATACAAGTGAATGCTTGTATGTGTGTATGTGGCAGCTTTCTGATTGGCTGCCACTTTCACAGACTACTGTGAACTGCACGAGCAACGTACCTGGACCAAACTTGGCACACAAAACCCCCATTACCCACTTTACATCCTGGTGTGGTTTGGGGGTGGTGTACCACGGATTATGGGATTTGTAGTACTTTAAAACTCTTGGGCACTGTAATGAACCCTTACCTTTAGCAGTTAGGATGTGGGCCTAGCGGAGCCCCAGGGGCCATTTTAGATTAAGGAAACAGGGAGACGCCATTTTAGAGTAGGTTTTCCTAGAGGTGGCGTGTCCTAGTCCAGGAAGCCAAGAGTGGATGGCCAGGATTGGGTAAGAATAGGGGGCGGAGCCTAACATTCAGTTAAGGAAAAAAAGTGTACCTTTTGAATTCAAGTCTTGAGTTTGGCAGTTGGGAATTGGCAGTTAGGTAGTCAGCAGGTTTAACAGTTGGTTGATGTTAGATAGGAGAGCTGGGTTAATCTTTTGTGGTATTCAAGAGCTATAGAAATAGATAGCAAGAATACAGATAGTGGAACTGGACCCTGTGTCTGTGGTCTGTTCTTTATCCCTGAGGAAGACTAGGCCAAAAGGTTATTGGCTAGATTCCAGAAGGGGGGGGGGGGCATTTTGTTTGGAATTATTATGCGCGATTAATTTCCAGAGATAATCTGTTTTGTTAACATCAAGATTTGAACCCAGAATCCATCTAAGAATTGTACATCCAACTTAACCAGAAGATTATGTACCAGTAACTTATGGAAACCACTACACATTTGCACCAGAAGAAGTTTAAGCCTGTTAAATAAACGTTTTATTATAGTTAACACTTTACAACAGCCTGTGTGTGAACGTCATTGGTAATTTAAATCCTCTGAAGGAAAAAAACACTATTGTAACACAAAAAGGTGTTACTAAGTATCCTCTCCACATACCACTCAGCCTGGAATTGGACAATAAGGTGGCAGCGTTCCCAATTGAAGCTCTCAATTCAGATATAATTCAAATATATATATACACAGGTATATCTTTCCCTGTTTTATCAACCTCCCTCCTGTGACATTCATTATAATTGGTGGCAAAGTGGTGTGATCCTTAGTGTGATGTTCCCTTATAATTGTTGGCAGCTTGTTGGACTCACTATTTCAAAATTCCCTGTTCCTTCTCCCTGAAAAAAAAATAGATCCTTGGTGTTAGAGCCTTTATAGCCACCCACAGACCACTGTGGTATAATTTGCATATGGTTTTTGATTGGCTAGCCTCAACATTCTAACATTCTTAAATGGTGGAGAGGGGGGAAAAAAGGGCCCGAGGCTGTCAGGAATGGTGGGAGTTGAAGTCCAAAACATCTTGGAGAATATAAATCATAAACATCATGTAAGCAAGCCACAAGGGACATAATATTTTTCTCCAGAAGTTTTCAATATTTAAGTGTTTTACATAAGAATTGACTATGTCCCTCCTCACACTGATTGGAAGAATCATGTGGCAGCCACAATATATATTGTAATGCAGCTCTGCATCTAACACGTTTATCCTGATTTTTTTCTCAAAAGGAGGAACACTGTATATACTCAAGTATAAGCCAACCTGAATTTAAGCTGAGGCATCTAATTTTGCCACAAAAAACTGGGAAAACATATTGACTCAAGTATAAGCTGAGGTTGGGAAATGCAGCCGCTACTGGTAAATTTCAAAATAAAAATCAAGACCAAAGTTGGCACACATAACCCCCATGATCCCCTTTACGTCCTGGTGAGGTTTGGGGAGATTGACGATGGATGATGGGATTTGTAGTACTTTCACACCCTTCAGTTCCCACAGACCACTGCGGCCCCTAACAAAGACCGAAAAGACCAAACTTGGCACACAGAGCCCACATAACCCACTCTACATCATATTGCAGTTTGGAGGAGGGCAAACCATGAATGATGGGATTTGCAGTACTTTTACTCGCTTCCTGAGACCACTGCAACCCACACCAATTGTTCACGAGCAAACTTGGCACCCAGAGCCCCAATGGCCCATTCTATATTTCGGTGTGGTTTGGAGGAGGGTGGACCATGCCTGCACTTGATGAACCCAGCCACCAGACTAAACTTGGAGCACAGACAAACAATGCCTTTCTGAAATTATCCGGACAGTCCCCAAGCTAATTTATTATATATTATAGTCCACTTCTCCCCGAAGGTATTCTATTGTTCTTGACAATTCTGTAAGGTAGCTCAGGGTTAAATCAGATTACTAGCGCAAAGTCACTTATTGAGCTTCATGATGAAGTGGGGATTTTACTTTTTGTCTCTATAGGCATGTTCAAGTAGGCTAATTACAATACCACTGGTTCTGATGCCATTATTATATTAATGTTTTATTCTTTTCTGAAGTATTGTACCTTTTTCAGACTTCAGATCTCATAAGAGCACTACAAGAATTAGAAAATGCAGCCTGTGGCGATGCAGCAGTTCATCAAAGGATAGCCTCATTTCCCATAGAAGTCCAAGATGTGTCCTTACTAAACAGAATAACAGGTATGGGAAATTGTGTAATAACTCAAGTGGAGGGCTTGACAAGTTTCTTCTTGAACATGTACTATTGTGATTTTTTTTTTAACTTTCCAGATAAAGATTCTGGGGAACAACTTTCCAAGATGGTAGATGATGCGTGTATGTTGTTGGCGGATTACAATGGCAGGTTGGCAGCTGAAATAGATGATAGAAAGCAGCTAACTCGAATGTTGTCAGACTTTCTGCGATGCCAAAAAGAAGTCCTCACAGAGAAAGAGCAAACATTGGAAGTGCGTATCTTTGTTGTCCTAGTTCTATTCTGTAGTTTCATTCTCAATATTTCATTCTCTCTTAATATGCTTTAATGCAGGGATCCTCAAACTTTTTAAACAGAGGGCCAGGTCACAGTCTTTCAAACTGTTGGAGGGCCGGATTAGAATTTGAAAAAAGCATGAATGAATTCCAAAGCACACAGTACATCGCTTATTTGTAGTGCAAAAGACATTTAAAAACAGCACAATAATTAAAATGAAGAACAATTCATTTTAATTACAAACTTATTAATATGTCAATGGGAAGTGTGAGCCTGCTTTTGGCTTATGAGATAGGATTGTTGTTATTGTGTGCTTTCAAGTCGTGTCAGACTTAGGTTGACCCTGAGCGAGGCCGGTTAAATGACTTTGGAGGGCCGTATCCGGCCCCCGGGCCATAGTTTGAGGACCCCTGCTTTAATGTATTGGAACTTTCTCCCATAAGATTCAAGGGAGCCTGGAGATTCCCCTGGTTCTATTGCCAACTAAGGCACAGAGTGTTTTCTACCAGCTTTGGCAAGGGGGATACCTTAATTTCTATCTGGGCAAGGATCATCTGGCTCCAAGTGGTAACTCCTAGATTAGAATGCAGCATTGTTATGTAGATGGGGCTGCCTTTGAACATGGTTTGAAAAAAGCAGTTATTGCAGAGAGCAGTGCACACATTGATTTCTGGGACCAAGAGATGTGATCATATAACCCCAATTCTGTGTGAGCTTCACTCTCTCTAGATCAATTTTGGATTCAGTTCAAACTTTTGTTTTTAGAGTGTAAAAACTTTACACCACTTGGCATCACGGTGTTTAATGAAATGTGCTTATTTTCATGAACCTAGCTATAATCTGAAACCAACATTTTGGGATTTGTTCTGAGTGCCTCTTTCACTCTTGGAGAGTGGCAAGGAAAATTGCCTTTTTAATTTTGCCTCTGCTTCAAGAATGCTTTCTCCCAAGCATTATCATCTTTTCAGAACCATGTTAAGACATTTCTCTGTGCCCAGCATATAATTGGCTGATTTGTAATTACTCTTAGGATATCTTATTATCCCTGTAATGTGGTTTCTCAGTTCTATGAGTGTGTACAATATTTTTATTATGGCATAAAAACTAATTGAATAAACCCAACCAGCATAAGACCCATGCCCCAAGGACATATTTGGTAGAAGCACCACTTGCAGCAAATATAGTTACAAGTCTTCTTGGGTCTCCGTCAGTATTACACATCTCAATTCTGTCATTTCTGCCCATTCTTTGTCACTGAATTGCTCCTGATTTTCAAGTTGGATGGGGAATGGGGGGCATTAGTACACAGCAACAAGCAAGGTTTATGAAATATTTCCAGTCAGCTTGAGATCTTAACTTTGACCTTAAGGTTCTTATTTTTTAATCGCTCCAGTGCCTCTTTGGCTGTGTTTTCAAGGTCAGTGTCCTGCTGGAAGTTGAACCGTTGTCTCCCTCCCAGGTATTTTGCAAATGGAAGCAGTTTTTCATCTACAATTTCTCTGTATTTTTTCACTGCGTCCATCTTTCCCTCAATCATTCTAGTTCCTCCCAAGGAAAAGTGTGATATTTCCAACACCATGATTCACTATGAGGTTGTTCTCATGATAGTGAACACTTGATGAATGTTCATAATCATGGTGTGTTGTGGCAAGACCAAAAAAAAAAATCAGTTTTGGTATTTTCACACCAGAAAAAATAACATGTATTTCACATGTCTTTTATCTACATTTGTTCCAGCAATGGCTTTCTTCTCACCACTTTTCCAGTTTCTTTCATCTTAATTAAGTATGTATCTTACTTATTCAGTTACTTGTGGATTGCTTCTCTCATGCTCTCATTCTGTTACTTAGTTTTGAAGAATAATTCAGCCAAATTCTTTCCATTTTGTAATAATGGATCAAATGAGGATTTGAAGCATGGATTTTGCACATTAAGGTAGATGGTTTACTTCCCACCTTCTTTTGAGTCGGTCTCTACAGACCTGTTTTTGGTGATTTGTCCCCTTAAAATTGATCTTTCCAGAACTGATAGGAACACAGAGAGCAACCCTTCCTGTATCGATTCAGATGTAAGTTCTGTTGAGTTTATGAGGCTTACTCCCAGGTAAGTAGGTAAAGGACTGCAGCCTGAGTGTCATTTAAAAAAAAAAGTGAATGCAATCAGAAATCTTTGCTTTTATTCCCTCACCCTAATAGAAGTATGTAACTATCCTGGTTAATGTTCCCGAACACTTCTAGAAAGATAGCCTCAGGTGTTCCAACGGTGGTTAATACTTTCAACATGGTTACGCATACTGCAGTGCATGATTGTGGTGGAGAAAAGTGTGTAACATGTGGCGCCAACCCTTGTGGCTTCCCAGGATGCCTCAAAGCCCCAATTTTTTAAAAAAAACTGTGAAAAACTACTCCCAAATCACAAAACAGCTTCAGAACATGATGATTTTACTTGTTTCTCCTTTCACAGACTTTCCATGCTCCCCAAATCTTGAGAAAATATCTGATTTTCTGCTGAAATTGAAACCAGAAGTAATACATTGCTAACAGAGTGTGCCCAAAATACAAACAAAACATGAACACCCCACACTTCATCAAGACAAATGTGGACCCAAAAAAAGCCTCTATCCCAGCAGGGTTGCCTATTCCTGAGCTACATTTTTTGTATACCCCTTTTTGAAAGTGCTCTTAACTTTGCAGGTTTATATTTTCCAAAAGTAGAGATTTTTAAAAACAAGCCAAAAAAAAAGCTGCTGACCCATTCTAACTTCTCTTCTGAGTGGCAAAAATGCATCCTTTGCTTTGCTGGCAATTGTGGAGTTTGTTTCCAGATGGTACTGACTCCTTGTGTATACATTTTACAGAAATCGGAAAAAAACATGCTGAGGATATGCATTCTTTTGCTATAAAATGACATTTTCTAAGCTCTATAGTCTATACCAACGGGATTTGATACTTTTTGACAGTTTTGATCAGTGCATAATATTTTACACCTAGCCAACAATGTGCTGCCCCCTGAAATTCATTTTTCATTTTTTGGGGATTTGGTACCTTTTGGAAACAAACTCCATAATTGTGTCTCCTGGCAAAATTCCATAGTATGTCAAAATACAATTTTGAATAAAAGCTAAAATGGCAGCTAAGCACCTAATGCATACTGGCAGTTTCTAAAATTTGCTGTGGCTTAAACTTACGAGACAAATTTATTATAAGTTAGGTCACAACGAAAATCACCATTGTTCTTTAAAGGTATTCTGCCTCCCATGTGGGTAAGTAGTGTCTTAATGCTTTTGCAATGGGACATTTTAATGTCTATTTAGCTTTTGTTTCAGGTGAGAACCATGGACCTTTTCTTCTAAAGATGGCACCTTCTTTTAAGCAATGCATCCTGTTAAAAAATAAAATTCAGAAATAAAATGTTGTTTGTCTCCTGTTTTCGAAACTTCAAAAAAATATCTGCAACTGTTCCGTATAACTTTTGATGATCACGTATTGCAAACACTACCTAAACAAAAAGTGTATACCAAATCACATTGCTGTCAATTTAATATTAAGTTTTTGTTGGGGAATCTGCTCCGTTAGGCTCAAAATAACCTTCAGTTGGGGTGATTTCACTACAAATATAGCAGAGAACTAGAAGTAAAGTTCATAATCAGCAGAAACTTATGTGTGTTGAGCCAGGACAAGCTTCCATTCAACAGGATTGCAGAGACAGAACTAGGTTCAAAATATTTATCGAAGAAAAGAAATACATTCAAGATAGAAAAGGTCTTAGAGCTAACTAGCTTACTAAATCTCATCTTCTAAGAAAGGTAAAAGGATAAAAAGTAAAAAAAATATCCATGCAACTACATTTTGCCTAGAGAGAGAGGCAAAATGGATCTTCACTGAAGGAAAGGAAAGTCATAGGGAAATCATAGGGAGGAGGAAGCAAGCTTGTTTTCTGCTGCCCTGCAGACTATGGCACAAACTATGGCTTCAAACTACAGGAAAGGAGATTCCACCTGAACATAAGGAAGAACTTCCTGACTCTGAGAGCTGTTCAGCGGTGGAACACTCTGCCCCGGAGTGTGGTGGAGACTCCTTTGGAAGCTTTTGAGCAGAGGCTTGGTGGCTATCTGTTGGGAGCCCTTTGTGCAATAAAAATACCTTTTAAAAGCCAAAGCCCTTTCTGGGAAAAGAGGAATAGAATGTGGGGGGAGGAGTTCCTCATTCTAATTTTATCTCTAGCTAATCATTGAGCTCTGGAGACTTGATTATACAAGAGATTTGTGCAGTTCAGGGATGAAACCCAACAATCCCCTTCCACCATGACTGCTCAAGTCTATCAGGTTCTACATCTTCAGCTTGTCATGAGCTTGTGTGGGTAGTGGCTTCATCAGTATGTCTGCAATTATATCTTTTGATTTGCAATATTCCAGGTTCATAAATCCTTCTTTGTGTGTGTTCTTCACAATATGGTATTTTGTATCCATATGTTTGAGCAATGGGCTGATCTCAGAATATCTTAGACAACCTTGATTGTCTTCAAAGACTTCTATTTTTGTTGGCTCACTAATTCCAAAGTCAAGTAGCACCATGTGTAGCCACTTCAGCTGCTTGCGTGCTTCCGCTGCTGACAGTACTTTGCTTTGGTTGACGATGATGCAACTATCTTTTGTTTCTGTGTTGTCCAGTCTATGAGTGCATCTCCATAGAAAAATAGATAACCGCTGATAGGTTTCTTGTCAGTGACATCATTGGACCAGTCAGCATCTACATATCCTTTCAGTATGGGATTTCTGGTAGCTTGCAATCTCAACTTAAGGTTTAGCGTGCCTTTCAGGTATCTGCAACTCTTTTAATTGCAATCACATATTTGGTTGACTGCTCTTCCTGCACAGTATTCCAACTGCGGCTGAAATGTCCAGGCTTGTAATCTGGTTGATTTACAGTAGTTTTCCAATAGTCTCTCTGTACAAGCTGTTGTCTGTTAACAGTTCAC